GAGTGCTGACAGGAGTTCAAAAATAAATTCTTATTCTTCAAGTTAATGCCCCACATCAACGTAGTATGAAAAATATAATACACTGACAAGCATGAGGAGAGTGTACATTCAGCAGAATATATTTTCTTTCTCAATAAAGTAAAAGCAGACAGTGGATTTAAAAAATAAAAATAATAGATTATTTCAGAATAATAATTTAGGCACCTATCTATATTTTTAATTTGTAGTACTCATTTGATTCTTTAATGCAGAAAGAATATGTAATGTTACGTTCCTTTTTTAGAAGATATGACTGAGGCTCTGAGAAATTAAGCAATGGGCAATAAGTAGAAGAATAAGAATTTTATCCCATGTGTTTTATCTCTTCACCCAATACTACAACATTCCTACTTTTTGGGCAAAATTTCTGAACACAGTTCAGCAATTTTAAAGTTATTTATATGCAAAGTGAGCTAGGATTTTCAAAATTTGGGCCATATGATAAATGAAATGTAACAACACCGCAGAGTTCTTTAGGCAGTGCACATTTTCTGTTAGGAATTAATTAATAACATTAACTTAAAATATTTAGAATACAAATATTCTTGCCAGTGTTCAGCAACTGTCTGGTACCTACTGTCAAAAATACATAGGTGCTTCAATGTTCAATATTGATTAGTCTCTTCTATAACTTTTAAAGCAGCACTTTAAGGTATGTTTTATTATCCTCATACTTTATAAAGAAAGAAACTAAGAGTAGTGAAAATAGGTAATTTATAAAAGCTCAAACAACAACAAAATCAATGTTTATATTTTGCACTCAAGCTTGTCTAAATACAAACCTTTACTCTTTAATAATGCTATCTGGAGAAAACATATTTAAGCTTTAAAAATGCAGTGGTCCTTTGAACCAGTAATTTTATTTCTAGAACCATATTCTAAGAATAGAATCAAGGACATGTACTATGATTTAGCTATGACAATCTTTATATCAATGTTGGTTATAGTTGCCAAAGACTGGAACCAATTTAGTGACCAAAATTAAGGGCTTGAGTAAATTAATTATATTGTGTTCACATGGTAAAATAGTATGCAGCTATTAAAAAGTTATAGTAGAAAATTAACTATTGGAAAAATAATACTATATACAACACATAGTCTTCCTAATGAACTCCACTTAACCTGCAAATTCCACTTAAATGTTACTTCTTTGTGATATGTTTCTTCCCCTGTTATTCATTCCAAATAAAATTGGGCCTACTTTCCTATGCGCTCCCACAGGTCTATACATATGGCAAATGCTTATTTGGGTATCTGTCTTTTCATTACAGGCTATGACTTCCTCAAGGTCAGAGAATAAAATTAATTTGCTTTTATTACCCCACCTATATCTAAGTCAGTGGTACAGTACATAATTAATAGGAGATACTCAATAAACACCCACTAAAAGAATAAATGAATAAATAAATGAACAATTCCTTAGCAGTATGTTTGACCTATTTTACTTAATGATCACATTCAAGAATCACATAGAAAATTATAAGATTTCTATGGCTTACTGGGGAAAACTGTCATGCTTTCGCACAATGAGAAGAGACAGACACCAGGATTCTAGCTACCTTTGACCCTACCTTGCTGCCCTAAAGACAAGAAGGGGTTAGGATCTCAGCACACCTACAGCCCACTCACTGTAGAACATGGTCTCGTGATGCAACAGTCTGGCAATAGCCTGAGCTAATACAGAGCTTTGAATGTGAGAGCTGCACATTTCTATAGGATGCATCAACAGGCTTCCTAAAACATAACTCTTAAAATTACCTTCAAAAATTTTAGTAGCCCGGGCACGGTGGCTCACGCCTGTAATCCTAGCACTCTGGGAGGCCGAGGCAGGCGGATTGCTCGAGGTCAGGAGTTCAAAACCAGCCTGAGCAAGAGCGAAACCCTGCCTCTACTATAAATAGAAAGAAATTAATTGACCAACTAATATATATATAGAAAAAAAAAAATTAGCCGGGCATGGTGGCGCATGCCTGTAGTCCCAGCTACTCTGGAGGCTAAGGCAGAAGGATTGCTTGGGCCCAGGGGATTGAGGTTGCTGTGAGCTAGGGTGACACCACGGCACTCACTCTAGCCTGGGGCAACAAAGCGAGACTCTGTCTCAAAAAAAAAAAAAAATTTAGTAGATTTCTATTTTATGTTTGTTTATTTTGTAAGGATAAAGCTCCTTAGCTTTTTACTTAGAAATTCATCAGGCCTAAAAGTTTAAACTACAATAATAGATTCTATGTTGTTTTCACCATATTATTATGACCAAAAATTATCTTAACTTTTACATTCATATTTCATTTATGAAGTCAATAATTTTGTTTTTGTTTTCATTTTAAGACTGGGGTGAGCTGATTTTTTACCAAAGCCCATTAAAATGTAGTTACTGAGTCACTTTGTTCATTATTGTTCTCTGTAGACATTATAGTACAGACACAAGTATTTCCAACAAGATCACAAAAATTCCTCTGGGAATGAGAAAAGAAGATTGCCATGTGCAGTTCAGTGGGGATGAAGATCCTTTTCACCCTTGGCATCTGCACAGTCAGTATTTTCAAATTATCTAAAGAAAGTCAGAGAGTAGGTCATTGGGAAGAAAGTCAAATGGATAAGGTCCAGGAAAAGGAAAAAGAGCAACTGAACCAGTTTACAGAACCTAAATCAGAAGGCTGTCTTCAACTAGCACTCAAGAAATCTTCACACTTTCTTAAAGTCCAGTCACATGTTTATATGTGTGTCTATAAAAAGGTATAGCTGTATTTAGAACTGCTACATGTTCCCCATCCTAAAGGAATTCATACTTACTTGTTATGATACTTTTTACCTTATCAGAATCATCACACACTGCGGTTTAACCCTGTGCTTACAACATTAGATTAGCCATTTCATTGGGAAAAGACTGCTGAATTGGGCTTGCATGCAGATGTTGATACAGGTGAGGTTTCAGAGGTGGAATTGGAGAAGGATCCCTCATGTCCTGCCTATGCCAGGCATGGGCTAGTCTCATTTTTAAAATACTGCAAAGAAGCCAGGGCATTCTCAGAATTTGAGGACGTATCAAGGAGGATTGAAAAGGTCTCAGAAAACCCAGTTTCAACAAAACAGAAGAAGCATCACAGGGGATATATATGCACGCGTGTGTGTGTGTCGTGTGTTTAATTTTACTTATATTTTCATTAAGAGACAAATAGGGAGACTTAAAGACTCTCTTTAGGATCACTAAATATCAACGACAAAACCAAGGTTTATACCATTCCTCATTTGCATAAATTGCCTGATTAAGTTGACGTTTTATGCTTTAGATGATGTAAAAAATAACAGTAGGAATGTTTCTGTTCCTCTTATGTGCAACATCTCTTTTGGGGGAGGGGATTGTATGTCTAAATCAGTAGATAATCACTAGAAAAGAGTACATTTTTCAAATCATTATCCTCCCCTCCCCACATATATACACACATAATTCTACACATCTGAAACTACTTTTCATTATATGATTTTTAAACTTTTGAAATATTATACCATTCCATGAGAGTCAGATGATTTAGATGCCAAACAAAAGAAAGATAATCACTTTTTATACCTTATTTAATTTCATAAATAAATATAAGAGTATCTGGATATCCCAATAAAATTAAATGATTTAATAATTAATGTTTATGCCAAAAGTAATCTATTACTTTATTCATAAACATAACAAATACTAATTGAGCACATACTTTGTTCTAGCCAATGTTTATGCACTGGGTATATACAGTAGTCAACAAAATAGATCGTATCTCTGATTTTAGAACCTTATTATTTGATTATTTGGTGGTAAAGATGTTGCTACTGTTAAATTATCTGATTTATCTTGGTTCAAGATATTTTATGTTTGTAAAGTTTATAAATTTATAAATTTCAACTGAGAATTATTGGAAAGAATAAGTACGTATAAAATTTAAGACAACTAACAATCCTGCAACCTTATAACTCAACTGGCACAAAGACAAGTTCTTATTATCATTACTTCTGGTTTAAAATCTCATAAAAAATACCCATACAGAGGACAGAAGTCACAGACCTTGAATTTTGATTTATCCATTCTTTTAGAGCATACTACCTCTTAGGATCTGCCCTCCTTTCCAACACACATTCTCGTGAATATGCTTATCAATCTCATGGTCAACAACATATCTTTTTTGAATGGTCCACAATGAAATTAAATCTCACATTCTAATGGAGCATAGAGTACTAGAATGGTGAGTATAAAGGCTAAAAACAGGTGATTCATACATAAGTATTTCCAATGGTCAACTAGGACACAACATAAAAATATACAACAGGAAATGTATGTACTGTAGACTATTATTCTACTTGAAATGCTCATGTGGATGGTTATATCAGTTCTTCTTGATAATTATTTAAGACTGGGGACTGTGGCATCAGACTGTGGTACTTGTATATAGGTTCTACATCTTAATAGCTAGATGACAGGCAAGAGTTCCTCTACCTAAGCTGGCCACCCATCAGGCTGGCCTTCCACAGAGATAGTTGACACTCCCCCTTCCCCATACAGCAGGATCATCTGAAAACTCAAACCAAGACAATATGGAAACTGGCTGCAACTGAGTACTTTAGTCAGACATTCTGAAAGAATGCTGATGAGACAGAACAGGGCTGAGGGCCAAGAATCCCCACTATCATTCCTCTGTAAACATAAGACTTGGGCCCTGGACACTGAGCACACCAAGGGATGGGTGAGCTTTTGGTTATAAAGGCTATGGTTGAATATCAAGGCTGGAAGTTACAATTTTTCTACATCACAGAACCCTAACAACAAAATTTAGACCTCAGTCCCAAACTCCCCCAGGGAGAAGGGGTGGTGCTTCTCTAACCAGTCAACTTATAAGCCCCACAGCTCAAGACTGGGTCCCCTCCCATGTCTAATGTCTAGCCTGCCAGTTCCTTGTATGAGAAGCATTGAGAACATTTCTCACCTGCTATTACTCTGTCTCTGTAGGTTTTCCCCTCAAAAAATGCTGGTCCAGGCTGGTGTGTGTACTTTCATGGCATTCGCTCTTGATTACTCGACATTAGACGATCTTGGACAAATTATTAATTCTCCGTGAGCCTCAGTATCCTCTTCATCAAATATGGATAATGACAGTAAACACTTCATTTGGTTTCTGTAAGGATTAAATGAGATAATCTATGTCAAGTGTTTATCACAGCACCCACACATAGTGAATGTTAAAACATGCCAGCTATTATTACAATTTATGATTTAATTCCAGGGGATTTTTTTTAGTATATATTTTATTATATCTCAAAAATATCAGAAATTTCAAAGGGAAATTTCATTATATCTCAGAAAGAACTAAAAGATAAACATGAAGGCTTTCATCAAGGGACACCAAAAACCATTATTCTAGAAGCTGTGACCACACTATTGATGTGGTAAGGTTTACTTGAGGACTGAATGAATCTGAGTTTCAGATCAGGAAAGAGAAACTTATCATATAAAAGAAAGTTAGACTTCTACTGAAAGGCAGAGTCTTAATTAGTGCCTGGGCATCTGTTTGCATCTTCTCGAAAAGGAGCAAATTGGAGGAGTATCATGAGGAAAATATAACCTTGGTGGCTACATTTTTCTCTATAGAATTATTCATTCATTCATTCATCCATCCATGCATTATTTCCTTTGTTCAACAGTTACATATCAGAAGGCACTATGCTAAATATCATGGTGGGATAAGAAGACATGTCAGGCCAACATTGAGAAGTACAAATTGGCTTTTTCAAAGCTTATTCCCTACATGCTGTTCTCTTAAAGAAGGAGCTGGCTGATTGCAGATAGTATTGAAGACAGCTACAGTAAAATGCTTAAGGCAATCAACTATGATAAAAGCTAAAGTGGCAGATTAAGCCATTTTCAAGTATGTAAAAGAGCTGGAACTCTCAGGCTTGGACATAAGCCCACTCACCTAACCAGAGAATGGGCTTGTGTTTCTTCAACTGTGGATGTCCAGTTGGCAGAATAGCACTTAGAGCCAAAACTACCCTACACGCATATTTCATGGATTTCAGTGTTTGGTCATGCCAGAGGAAGAGCTATTGCTTTTGTAATTAGTTTCTTAAAGTTTTCTGGACTCTAATGCTTGCTTTGCTAGATCTCTGTGTGCTGAATCAAAGTACAATAAAAAATGTGCTCTGTTCCTATCACAGCGAAATCCTCCAACACACTGCTATTTCATCAATCCTAGTGTGTGAGCTGCCTGGTGTTTTTTCCTGGTTTGATCAACACATTTGTGACTCTTACTAAGTTTATACTACGGAAGAGAAGATGTATCACTTAAGTGGATTAAACTAATAAAATTGAAAGAATGGCCTGTCATGAAAAAAGAATGTTCCATGTTTAGGTGGAATCATCTATTTTTTTCTACTGATAAACCTCTGGCTCACTTGAAAATATTTGATAGAAATAAATTCCTGCACCTCTTAACATTTCCCTTCCCAAAAGAAGAGGAGGGACTCTATTTTAAAAGACTAATGCAGCTGTACCACTCATTCATGGAAAGTGAGAAGTAGGCTTCATTCCTCCATGCAATTTATTAGCTCTGTAACTACAATTCTCATCCTACAGAGGCCAGTTTCAGGGTGATGATGTTTGCCTAATGTACACGTCTTGTGGCCTCATGTACAGAATGTGTTTATCAATACAATTTTGCTGATAATAAAATTGATATTTGAGCACCCAAGGAAGTCAAAACTTGTCCATTTCTTAATAGGTTCAGAACTTACAAGAGACATTTGATTCAATGTTCCCTTTAGTTCTAGTTGTTTAATTCATATATGAATTTGAATCCCAATTCGAATCACAATCTTGGGAAGATCGTGTTCAATCTTGAAATGTCAGTATACTTACTTGCCTATGGACATAATATTGATCTCATTGGATTCTATGATGATTAACTGACATAATGTTCCTAACTCGGAACATTAGAACACTTGGAAGGTAGTCAAAACTCAGCTTGTGTGGTATATGTGGATGTAAGGAGTAATCTAGACAAAGAATGGTGAGAGAGGGCAATTGAGTCACCATACTAAGAATAATCTTTTTTTCAGTTACCATAAATATAGGAAATATTATAAAAATTTTAACAGATGGTCACCAAGAAATTGGGAACCTCATGTCCTATGCTCGTGACACACCAGCCAGTTTGACACCACTATTCAGTGCTAAAAGCAATATCATAGGAGAGCATTTGACAAATTACTGTAGAAGTCAAACCTCAGTCTGTGCCACTCACCTCAAGAGGACATTGCTCACCATGTGTCATTTAAAATGCAATTCCCTTTGAATGAGCATAGGGCAGTTCTATTACCAGACATGACTGCTTTTACTCCTAGCAGTGGTTTAATGATTTTATGTCATTGCAATAATAGAAACATGACATTCAACTGTGACTACCGCTTGTAGGAGTCTATTTTTGGAAAGCTGATTTTGTGGAGGACAAGGAAATGTGGAGTCTTGGTTCCTGTTTATTTCCCCAAAGCCTTGGACAGTAACTCTTATACATTACTTCTCTCTGTGGACCTTTCACAACTTTCTGAAATGAGGGTGGTGATTTGAAGTCCCCCCAAATGATTGTTCACATACAAAAACTCTTCTTTACAAAAGGGAAGTTGGGACTGAATTTAGTTTTTCCATCAGAAGAAACATCCCTTACAAAGTATCCCAATGCCTTAGTCTTCACTCTTGATCAAGAACAAGCAAACAACAACCCACCAAAAACCCAAAACTACACATTTTTTGTCAGTAGAGGACAGCACCTCATATCTTTCACAGATAACTTTGAAGCCAAGAGACATAAACTCTATCAATGTCCTATCCTCTCAAGTAGACACTTATCGCTGCCAGCACTCAGAGTTCAACTTCTTTCTAATCTCAGAACAAGTGCTTTTTGTCTGCTGAAGGCTAACCCTTTCATCTGTGTTCTTGATTCCAAGCTCGCCTGTCTTTTCTAGGACCTTGATCCATTAGTGCTCTACCTTTATTCCTTTATTCTCACATCCCCCTTGCTATTGGTTCTTTCAACCTAAAATCCTTACCATTACAAACACACACACGTACACACACACACATTCCTCTGTCTACCTCTAGTCACTGACCTATTTTCCTCCACGACCAAACTACTTAAAATAGTTCACATTTCCAGTCTCCCATTTTTAAAACTCCTGTTTCTCTTTTGCTTCTATAAATAAGTATGTGATTTCCCTTTTCCTCCTTATTTCAAACAATATAGTGCAAGTATTTTGTTATCTTTTCTTCCTCTTCTTTAAACCATAGTCAGTCTTCTGCTTACACCTTTCTACCCAGACTTCTCAAGTGAGATCAATAACCTCCCAACAGTTAAATTCAATGGCCAAAATCAGTAATTTGAATATGTCACTAGTTTGTGAAACAAAAGATATCTCCTTTTCCTTTTTAAAAACTCTCCTCTCCTTTGGTTTCATGTTGCTGCTTCCTTATTTTTCCCAGTTACCATATATTGAACACATTATTTTCTCCAAGTAATATGCGATACACTTAACATTGTTAAAATAACCATGGAGGTTAAGGGATATTATAATATTGTATACCTTTAAATATTAAGCAAGTGGAACCTAAAAAAATCGAGTAATTTTACCTAAGTTACATATTAGTGAAAGGTAAGCGATAAGAATCCAGTTTTGTCTGATACCATGTACGTTTTTAAACATGGTAATGTGATAATTAAATATTCCAAACATACAGAAACACACTAAATAGTTCTAACCAACAAAATTTACCTACCCAAATATTTAACAAATGTTTACATTTTGCTTTTCTGGCCTCAGATGTTTTTCTTCCCAGAACTGATATAAAGAATTAAAGCCCACTTTGTACTGCTTCCCAATTTTTCTACCTTCTCTCCCAAGAGAAAGCCATTATCCTCTAGTTGGTCTCATCTTTTGCATTCAAATTTTTATTCTATCATTGGATTGATAGTCTTCTTTATTCCTGCCTCTTATTCCTTTTTTATTTACCGAGAGACTATACATCTGCAGTCCCCAACCCCTAGGCCACAGCCCAGTACCAGTCCATGGCCTGTTAGGAACTGGGCCGCACATCACCACCTGAGCTCCGCCTTCCCCTGCCCTCCCTGTCCATTGAAAAATTGTCTTCCATGAAACCAGTCCCTGGTGCCAAAAAGGTTGGGGACCGCTGGTATACATTAATTTTCTTCTATTTGATGTGTACTCATAATTTTTTTAACATATATACTAAACATTTTATAGATAATCAATATATCTAATCTTCTCTGAAACCAAATAGGTTTAAGTATATCCCCACTAAATTTCTTTAAAGTATATCCCCACTAAATTTCTTCCTCTACTACATTAATTTGTCTTATTTTTGCCCTGTAAAATACCTTGTCTTAAACCAAGAAATTAATAGCATATATTATTTATCTATGTTACTTTTTACAGACCAAGTTAGATTAACATCTACCTACATGCATATTAAATTATTTCATAACCATCTCATTTTTTTTTTTATGGGGCAGGGGATGTTCAATTTCCTCTTAGTGATTTTCATTCTCTAATAGTTTTTTTTAAATCATTATTCATGGAAAGTCTATAAAAATTGTTAATTATCAGCCTTTTTATCAGCATTTTTCCCCACTTAGATTCACCCTTGAATTAAAGTTCGGCTGAATTTAGAATTCTAGGTTGACAATTATTTTCTATTCACCCTTTAAAATTATGATTCCACTGGGCTTCTGGTCTCCAGCGTGACTGTGGGATATCTTTAATTCTAATTGCCATTCCTTTGATCGTAATAGATATTTCATCTTTTATTGTTTTCAATATGTTTTCTATTTGTGTGAGTTCTGATATTTTACTGCAGTATTAACTAGGTGAATATTTGTTTTTAATCATCCAGTCAGAGATGTGATATAGTCAATCATTGTGAAGATTGATATCATTTTTTCAGTCTGGGCAAATTATGAATCTGTATCTTTTATTTCTAATGTCCTTTTCAAAATTTCTTTCATATATTTTCTGCAGTGTGTAATTTTGTTTTCTTATATCCTTACATAACAGCTGCATGTCTGGTTAATTTAATCAGATCTATTTTCAAGTTATTAATGCTTATTTA